TCAATTTATAGAATATTCTGTACTCAAATATTATCTTTACAGAATTTCAGAAAATTTATAAACGATTGGGTATTACACTTCAGGAGCGTGGTGAAAGTTTTTATCAAAGTCGAATGGAAAAACTAGTAAAGTGGCTGGATGCTGAGGGTAAGAAAGTGCTTACATGTTTTTGATCTGTTAAATGTGTATATTATAATGAATCCATAACGTTTATTGGCAATTGTAACAAAGAACAAATGTTTAACTGTTATCTTTTTGTAGGTTATTTAGAGGAAGATGAGGGTAGAAAGATTATGTGGGCTGCTGATAAATCCATTACTGTGCCTCTCACTATTGTTAAATCAGATGGAGGCTTCACATACGACACATCAGATATGGCATGTGTGCAGCAGCGTGTCAATGAAGAAAAGGCAGATTGGATAATCTACATTACTGATAGTGGCCAGGTTGATCTCTTACTTTTGCCTCTTACACACAACACTCACTGTGCTGGATAGTTGGATTGTCATGAAATTCCTGGTCACGGTCGGGGCAACAAATTCTCTGAACAAATTTAATTCTTAAAATTCATTTTTACTGGCAAACATGGTCACAATTTGGATTTCTTTATGACTTAGTAATATATTATCTGAGCGTAATTGCGACCAACAAGATGATGGGAATGATGACAATTGTATGTATTATTATATATGGATACATCTTATAATTTCAGATGTATAAAAAGAATTTCAAAAGTGTAATACACCTTGTAATCTGTTGGATGTGCAAAAAATGGGTACAACCATGCCAAATGTTATGCAGTCACAGAGGAAGACAGAATGTATGCTAATCAGATAATTGACATTCTTAAGGATTGGACATTTGCCAAAATAAATTTCAGTAAAGAAATTGATGACACTGAACTTAACCAGGATAAGAGGACCCCATTTATTAATGCAAATGATACAGGGGAAAAAGATTTTATAATGCAATGGAGTAATCACGATTTAATGGACGTTTTTGTGAAATTCCCGGAGAAGCAGAAATCTATAGTCTACACAAAAGAAGAAAAGGAGGCAATCATGGATTTCTGGCTTGATGTTGAAGGGACGTCCCAAATTGGATGCAACTTTTTGTCATAAATCAATGATGCATGAAAAATAGATTCTGTAGTCCGATACCCTTGTTTGACTATGCTCTTTGAGTGGAAAAGCAATGTGACCACAAACTACTGATGTCACATAAGGAAGCGAACAAAAATATTGACCGCCATGTGATAGGCACCTTTCAAAACAATCAACAAGAAGGATACAGCATTCATGAAGGTAATCTAAAAGCTTGGGCAAAATTTGAAATTCAAAGATTTTAAAATTCATTTCGGATTTCTGGGCAAATGATGGCTGTCTTCACTCAGTGAAAAAATGCAACAACATTGTCTCCAGGAAAGTGAAGCATTTTTGTTATGAAGAAACAACTTAAGGACCAGAAACTATAACTTGAGAAGATGCGGAGTGACGTCAAGAAAGTCACCATTTAATGAATGAAAATGTTTATAATGCAGATGAAGCGTTTGCATTGGAAATGGTTTCCAGTCGTACTGTAGAAGAACTGTGTGTGAAGGACATTGCATGCCACAACCCACACATACACTGTAGTACCCATTCTGTCCACAACTGGAAAATTGGCACTGGAGCTATTTGTCATTCTTCAGAAAAGTGTTTAAGTTCCCGTGACCTAGAGGCAATGTTTAATGCACCGAATCTCATTGTCACTTTACATTCTTCGGACAAGATAACAGCGGAATTGCACAAGACATTTGTAACACAACACAAGTTATTTTAAATCAATTCCCAAGAAAATAATTTTGCTTTTACTAGACTCTTATGTGCTTCACAAAGAGTTAGTTCAAAACATTTTGGTTGAAAACAATCATGTGCAGAACGAATAAGAAATTCGCCTGATAATGATTAATACTAATAGAATTTGGAAGGTGCTGAACAAGCTGGTAAAAATTTCATGACAATCCGAGTGTACGGAATGGTGAGTGTTGCATGTTAGATGTAACCTACTGAAGCTCCGTATTACCTAATTCTTTAGAAGAATTTCAGATAATTTTTAATTGTTTGTAACTTAAAGAAAAATACTTACTGGCATTCATAATAGATATTCAGGAAATAAATATTGTAAGACATCTTATATACAATATTGGTGAATCATCAAATGAGGCTCTGTTTTATCCACTTTTTAAAAATTACAATTTATAACATAAATTTCCCGCATCCCTGTGATTCTGATGATAAAGTTTGAGCAACTATAGTAAAATAGAAACCTATTTTTTGCAGGCTTTTATTTATTATTTAAGGATATGCTGCCAACATTTTTTTTCCTTCGAGATACGACATGAAAAGCAATGAAAAAATTTAAATTTACTAACTATCTTTAATTTGAGGTGCTATTGGAAGGACATGTGTCGGTACCATTTGGAAAATTTCATGGGATGCAATTCCATTTTTCAGATTTAATGGGAGTTTGATATAGTCGCGGAAATTGGATTTGCAACATTGAGAACATTTTCTAAGTTTATTTTCTTTGGTAGCTCTCTTGATTTATAGTTACACATTAGCTTGCATACATGTTCCAAATTGTCTATTATGATACATTTTAGTTGTCTCTAAAGTGGAATCAATTCCATATATTCTTAACGAATTTAATTGAATTTGCTCTTTAACAGTTTAATTATAGTATTGTTAATTTCAAGTTCTAACACCATTAAGTTTCGTTTCTGCTGTCAATTTAATGTACTAAATATGACTTCAGAAGTGATGACCTCTCACTGTAGAATACATGCCATTCATTCATATATTTATGCCATCTCAAGAACTGGAGAGCATTTGCTTGAAGTCATGTATGTTGCTAGAATTCAAGAAAAGTACTTTTCAACAGTCCCTATTTATAATCTTTACACATGTAATTCTTTGATTAAAATTAAGACTGTTGCAAGTTTAATTAAAATACAAGGAAACAAAGCGATCTTTTTCAAATTCATTGTTTACGTCCTGTCCATTTTCATTTAATGACTCGATTCACATTTACACACAGCCTCATCTGTTTGTAACTTAATTTGTATCAATTCTTACAATATTATTTTTTCACAGAGAATCCTAAACGACTACAAATAATATATTTGAGTGAGGTTAATGTGGTTTATTCAGACCAAGCCCCATTTTTCTGACTCCAAACTATTATTTTTTGTGATATTGAAATCATGTAAAATTAATCTTGAAATCTATCCCTAATCTCCAAATGTACCCCCCCGAACTGTCACTCCTGAGGTTGTCAGCTGTCCCTCCATCTCATATGGCTGGTTGAAGAATACCTGTCACAGAGTGATGTGGTCTTTGGTGATACTCGACTGATTTAAAACCTGTCAAAACAATTGTCTCTTGGCCTCAACAAAGCATATGTTGTGAACTAGAAAAGGATATTTTCAGCACCTTTTTTGAATGTGGAACCTTCTTAGTAAATTCAACCAGCATTTTTGGAAAGATTTTGATTTCATTTTTGGAGACTTTTTTTTCTCTTAAAACTACTTACAGAGATAATAGTAATGTATTACTTTGATTTACAGGCCTCACATTTTCAAATTCTCGAGAGTTGTGCAAAAAGAGCTGGTTTGTTGCCATCTCATGTGAAGTTCACTCATGTTGGCTTTGGTGTTGTGCTCGGAGAAGATCGCAAAAAATTTAAGACTCGATCGGGTGATACAATTCGATTAAACGATTTGCTAGACGAAGGTAAATTAATTTGTTGTTTTTTAATAAAAGAATAATTGTAATGCATAATTATGAAATAGGTATGTGTTGATTTAGTCATGGGTAAAAAATAAATCTCATTGTCGTCTTACTAATTTTGACCAAGTATGTCAGAACTTACAAGAAAAGGTTTGTGAAATTTTTTTTTAGTACATCTTTGTACAGATGCTTTAGTACAGATGCTTATTGCATGGATCTCTGATTCTTGGCGCAATAAACAATGAACACAAAATGCCAACTAATTTGTCTCGTCTAGAGATTGTCTACTAAAAGAAAAAAGTTTTGCCTTTTTATGAAGTATAATTTCTTACTCTCAATTGAATGAATTTATCATAACTAATACTGTGAAAATTAATGGTTTAATTCTAGGTGTATCTAGGGCTTTAGAAACTTTAAAAACCAAGGGGCGCCATGAAGTTCTAACTCCCGATGAATTAAAGCAGGCAATGGAAAGTGTTGCCTATGGCTGCATCAAATATGCTGATTTATCCCATAATCGGAATGCAGAATATGTATTTTCATTCGATCGTATGTTGGAAGATCGTGGCAACACAGCTGTGTACCTGCTTTACAACTTGACTCGCATTCGATCCATTGCTCGCACGGCAGGTGTCTCTTCTGAACAGTTACATGCTGCTGTAAAAAATGGCACTACGATTTCACTGGATCATGAAAAGGAGTGGAAATTGGGAAAGGTAAATTACCATTTTTTTTGGACTCATTCATTATATCTATTGTGTTAATTTCGTATGAGTGAACAACGTTTTGAAAATGTTCAGAAAAATTTTAATATTGATGTGTAGAAGTTAGCATTTGTGATTTTGAATCTGATGATCTGAAAATATTTAAAATGTCAAGAAAAATCTCTAAAATTAGTTCAAAACATTAAAAATTTACTTGAAAATTTTAATGAAAATGAAATTGGTTGTCAGCCTGATGAGTACAACCATATCTTTATTTTATGTTATTTCAGGTATTGTTACGGTTCCCTGATGTGATAATTGAATCATTAAAAGATGTGAGTTTGCACAAGATTTGTGATTTTGCCTATGAAATTGCTACAGCATTTTCTGAATTTTATGACAATTGCTATTGCGTTGAGAAGGATTCATCAGGTAAGTGGGATTGCAGTAAAGTGATTTTAATTATTGTTTATAAATTGTATGTGATTTTCCTTCATGTTGCATTTTATGAATTATATTCTTCCAGGAGAGATTAAAAAAGTATATATGGAGAGATTACTACTTTGTGAAGTAACTGCTACTATTATGGCTCAACTTTTTGCTTTGTTGGGAATTGATCCTCTGTCACGCATGTGAATCGAGTACCTTTGTTACATACGTGAGATGTAAAAGCTGAATGTTCAAGAATTCAGACATACAGTATTCTAAAAAGGTGACTCATTTAAGTGAAAGATATTTTTCTTACTGGGTGAAAATAAATGTGGGATACAAGAAATGAAAATATTTCGGCTCGTGAAGACTTCTTCTCCAAGTTTTTTTTAGCTAATTTTGTGTTATTCAGTGAAGTTTTTTGAAGAATGTTGTTCTTTTGTGCTTTTATTTATTGAGAACTTGAAAAATTACATGCTATTCTTGTGCTATAATCAATTGGAAGAACATGCAGAACTTCATTCTTTAAGACAACGCTCCTCAATAGCTTAAAATGATGTAATATAAAAAAGTTTCTGTTGTTGAGACATCTTTTGTTTTGAAAAAATGTAAATTAATTTATTAAAAGAATGGAATTGAAATTTGTGAAAAAAAGAGTTCTACTCTCGCAGTATAATAATGTATATTTTCTTATATGAAGAGACTACCAAGCAATGCATGCACTGTACCCCTGTTACAATTTCTCATACAGTGTAGTAAACAAGCAGTATACCACTAATTATTGTCCGTTTAGAGTAAAAGGCCTCAAAAACAGGTGAGGGGCTTACAGACCTTATGTCCTCAGAGGTTAGGCAACACAACTTACTTGATTTGAGAGAACACTGTGTAGGCATTGCTACTAACATTGTGGTTTCCCCTAAAGTGCATGATGACTCAAAATATCCACAAATCAGATTCCTACAATTTTCTCTAGACAAATGCTAGGTACTGCTATAAGAACCCAATTATCGTCTCCAAAAGTGATGGCCATTGAGACCTGATAATAAAGCAACCTAGTGGAACTAAAACAGCACATACATTCTTGTATTATTTATCATGGCTCCACAATATTATACTACAGTATAAGTATTTATACAGTAGCACAGCTCAGCTTGTTTTTTGGCTTGTTAGGGTTACGCACACATACAATTTGCGATCCTGGCAGTGCCCAAGAATACGAATTTCTTTGTAAAATTAATTATTATTAAAAACTGGCTATTAAGACAATTTGTATTATTTCTTGACCTTATGGTGTTAATTTCCTAGGATTTCAAGGGAACTTCGTCAAATAACTTGTAAAATTTCATTGAACTAATGTTTTAACCTTATATTTGACATGTATCAGAACATACGATTTGATATGAACCAACTGAATTCGTGTAGTTTTCTAGTTAACACATTGATAACAATGCGTGTGTTGAAAGGAGCATACTGTTCAGCAATAATGTAGGAAAGAACCCTCAGTTATGTAACTTTTACTTGTCTAATACACCTAGAATGGAAAGACATTATTAAAGAAGTTAAATTTGTTATTTCCTCCTAGATACCCTTATTTACGAATTAGATTACTTGCATTTCTAGATATGTTGATGACCAGTATAGAAATACTTGTTCTTCCTCGGGATTTCACTATTCTTTCATTTGGCAACTTTCATTAGATTTAAATAATAGCTTTCCTTAAAAAATGTTAACAACTTCTACTTCACGTGTTGCTTTAGTTATGAGCATAAGGACATGAAAAAATATGTAAAATACGTTTACTTTTTGGCATGGGGGGCTTTTGGTCACACCATTACGATGTGGAACGTCTCTCTCTCTCACTCTCACTCTCTCTCACTCTCTCTCTCACTCACTCTCACTCTCTCTCACTCACTCTCTCTCACTCTCTCTCTCTCTCTCTCTCTCTCTCTCTCTATA